ACATTGTTTTTGGCATCCCCGGTATATTTCAGTAATTTAAAAATTAAATTAAAAGTGTAGGACATGCTTACCTTTCTACACCACCTGGGTTCAAATCTGACTCCAACACAGAGTAGCTATGTGACTTAGAACAATTTACTGAACTTCAGGCACAATGCAAGAAATTGTGGTTCAGTCTCCTCTTTGACAAAAAAGTGATACCTTCCTCATGATGTTGTAAAGAATAAATAAGTTACTATGTATAAAGTGCTAGGAAATACCTGGTATACAGTAAGAGTTCAGTAAGTATTAGTTACTATTAAAACCAAGAATGTGAAATATATTGTAACTACTTGACAAGTATAAGGGCATTGTTGTGAATATCACTTTTACTCTATCTGCTACAATACTAAGCAGCAGTGAGTTACTAATGGAATATGTGGAACTGTTATGTTTTCTACTTGTTCCTTTCTCACCCCTTTTTCCTCACTAGTTGTGTCATTATAACTTAGGAAGAAATTGAAGACTGCCAGGTGATTATGATTTAACAAGCTGGGTTATTTATTACAGAGCTAAATGAATCTTTAAAAGTTTTAATTCTACTCCCACAGTTTATGTGATGAAACTTAGTGACTTCACCAAATCTCCAAGGCTCTTTTTAACTTAACTGAGACCTAAATCAGATATACTGATTATCAGTTCAGTGCTCTTCACGGATCCTGGTACACGTCTCTTCCAGTGAGGAAAACAGGTTTTGCGCTAATATTTTAATCCCAACTCCAAGGCCAAACTTTTAGGTCTGGCTATTTGAGCTTTTTAAAATCTGCCAGCTCTATGCAATACAGCTTTATATGTATGTATATACACATATTCACCTAAAGGAAAAGGGAAGCATTATTTAGTCATCAGTGATTCCAAACTACAAATAATAAGAGGGCCAAATCTAACCTATGATAAAGATAACATAGTAGACAATCGTTTTTGTGCATAAATATAATAGTTGCCATTATGTATGTGGCTTATAAATTATCCTGGACTGAGCTAAATGATACTGGTTTCCCAACTATTTCAATTTTTTGTCTTATATTATTTATGTTCAAATTACCTATATCTAGTAACTTCCAGTACACACATTCAATTAAAATAAAAATCAATGATCGACAAATTGTGTGGTTATTTTCCTAACACTTTTCTTTAATCAAGTAGCAAGTTGGCATTTTTGAAAGGAAAAAAAAAAAAAACCACAAAAATATTTACCTTGAACATTAAAAGTACACAGCTATAAAAGTGGCAAACATTCTTAGCACAACACACAACAAGAAATTTTCAAATTACATTCAAAGCTCCA